GTTTCGCAGCGCCTCAAGTGCTTAATGAGAAGCTGCTAATTTTGGTTTCTTTTCAAACCTTCCAATATGGTTATATTCTATTTTGACACATCTCACAAATAAGTACGCTAAGCTCTAAGTCTTATAAAAGCTCTAAGAAAATTAATTAAAATTTTCCTCACCTAAACATGAAACTACCTTACGTGTGATCCTTCGGGCTGCAGCTTTGCTTAACTTTGTCGACGCCGCGCATAACGCTTCATATTTTGCTTCATTTAATTGATAAAATTGTTGTCTGCGGCTGCATCTAATAATGTATACTTAAATTAGTTTAGGACCTTTTTTGTATTTTTTGGGGGTTTAATTTTTTTTAATCTTTTTGTTGAAATGTGACTTCTTATATCCCACTTTGGCAAAGTTTGCCTCGATTTTCTCAAATTTTCATTTTATAATATTTATTTCTCACAGGTGTACAACTTTGCTCCGCCGATTTTTTTTTCCCAAAATTAAAAGCTTTATTGCGAAAAAGTGCTTACATATATATTATTCAAAGTNCTTTAAAGGCATTATCATCTATATATTTCAATTGTTTTTGACGCCTTTTTTTCTGTTAAAGCAACACACCTTTCGTAAATTTTCTTGGTCTTTTCATTTAAATTGTTACTTTTAGTCACTCTAATGTTGAATCGTAGCATTCTTCAATTTTAGAAACATCTTTATCTCCATACCAGATTAATAATATCCTTTCGATTGCTCAAAAACCGTCGCTATGAGTTTCTCAGCTAACTGCGACACTTAAGCTTCTTGTTTCGACTCAGGCTCATAATAATGAGTTCAAGTTTCATCTTCTGTAAAATTTTTCTCAATACTTCTCTTCATTACAGCGGTTCAAAAATGCAATTGAACAGACTACGAGTTGTTGTTTTAGCGGTGACGTGCACCCATCTTACATGGACGACAGTTAAGATGCTAAGATGATTGTGCAGGGTTTTAAAAATGATTGTATCGGATATTCCAACCATTTCTGGGCTTTCTTTGGAGACCTCTTTCATTTTGGTCGCAACTGAATACAACGAGACTTCATTGAGCCACTGATCACGATCCTAATGAACGAAATCTCCCGTGAAATCTTCTATAATACAAAGCATTACTTTATATATTATATACAAACCAAATCGGAAAGTAAACATAGTGCTTAAGGAAACCCTGAGCTCAACGACACCTAACGAGAAAATGTTTGGCGCCGCTACTACTACAACAACAACAACAACAACAACAAAAGAATACATTTCGCCGGCTCAGCTCTATTTAAAGTACTTAGATAAGTTTCAGTAGGTATAGGGACTACAATGTATAGAAAACACTAAATTATCTCAATAACAGCACGTCAACTAAGACTAGCAATAAAAAAAAACGTTTATGGGACGTATGCACCCAGAATGATATATTTAGAATTATTGCGCTAAGTATCAAATTAAATTTCAAATGTTGCACCTTCCTAAGTTAAATATTGCTATTTAAAAGCTTTTAACATAGGGAGATGTACATTTTATTTGTATTACGATCAAAAATACATTTCAACACTCGATAAAGTGCATGGGTCAGTTAATACAAAGCTTTGTACGAGGTCTGTTCACAAAATAAGATAAATTGTAGAATTTCGAGAGCTACCTACTTTCCCTTAGCTTTTTTTTGTTTGTTCTGATGATTAACTTTTCTCGAACATATCCATATACATACACTGCACGACAACCGATTAGCGCACTCTCTAACCTATCTGTTTAAAGGAAAATAACTCCCTACTCTGAATATGTTTCATGCGCATTCTATTTTTCCTTTTAATCTGTATCATTTTCGCTCATTCTAAGTATAACTGGGAGCTCTGGAAGTGTAACGTTTTTTCGCTTTGCTTTTTCTTTGAAGTGCGACAAAAATGCATGCATGTTTTTTACGACAGCCGATTAGCACATTTTCGCTTTCATGTCACTTTTGGCGTGTAAGCTGCCTCGATTGGGTGTTTATGATTATTATTTATATATTGGGACTAATTATCAATAAATACATAAGGGAAAAACATGAAAGGTCAGCGATCATCACTAATAACATCAGCTGAAATGCGAATCATACTACGACACGCAACTAATTCCCACGACTCAGCAGCCAAAATAAAGGAAAAAACTGGTGTTAAAGCGTGCATTCGGACTGTGCAAAGAGTTATTTCGAATGCTGAACATATGAAGCATCTAAAATTAAAAAAAAAACACCTCTAAACCAACTTAGAAAGATGCAACAACTCAATTTCTGTCGATCAAATATGACCTGGTCTAAGGAGTGGGAGCGTGTAGTCTTTTCAGATGAAAATAGTTCAATTTGGAGAGTCCTGACAGCTATGCCTACTACTTTCATGATCTCAGAAAGGAAGATCGATTGCACAGCCGTGCGGGTGGTGTCATGGTGTGGGGAGCTTTAATATACTTTGGCACTAAAGAACTGCAGTTTCTTACTAGCCGTATGAATGCCATTGCGTACAAAGGTGTACTGAATACGGCTTTCCCTGCAATCAAGGATATTTTTGGACCCTTGACATGGAAGTTCCAGCAGGACAACGCACCTATCCACACAGCCAGGATGGTAAAGTCCTGGATTGATGTTCAAAACTGACTTGGAGGCCATACTCTCCCAACCTAAACATTATAGAAAATGTTTGGGAATGGCTGGCACGAAAGGTGTACGAGTCCCGCAGGCAGTATTCAACCGAAGCAGAACTCATTGAAGGAATAAAAGGGTCCTGGGAGGCTGTTTCACTCACAATTATATAAAAAAAATTATATGACTCCTTACCTCAGCTGATGTACGAAGTCATACTTAACCGTGGAGGCTCAACACATTATCAATTTGTTTTCAAAAAAAGTTAAAAATATTTAATTTAATATTAAAAAACAATTTGAATGAAATTTGAATCCATTTTCTTTTGTTATTTTAAGTTTTCAAGTGACTGTGCTAATCGGCTGTCGCAAAAATAATAGAGAATTTTGTATGTTATGTTTGTTCATATTAATTTAAAATGTTATTAATAAAGTTAGTATTCTATCTTCTATTAATTTTCGAGTGAAATTATATGTTCTTTTAAGGGAAAAAATTATTTGAAAAGCTTTTTTAGTTTTCCTGATATTAAGTTTCTAAGACGAGCAGCATAGGGTGTGCTAATCGGTTGTCGCGCAGTGTATGTATGCCATGTTTAGTTTGCTTGTGAGACTCATAAGAAATAAAAGTTATTTTACATGAAATTTTTTTTAAAATTCCATCGACGGGTACTGCATTTAAAGCTTTTAAAGCTGAAGTCTTACCCATCCGGACCAGATGACCTATCCAGCGCCGACGCCGTTTCTTGATTCGCTGAACTATGTCAATGTCGCTGATATTGGCTGCGCCATTGGCCGTTCCCAACTCGTAGAGGACCATAAATCTTACGACAAACCTTTCTCTCTAACGCCGGCTTGTCAGATGTTGTCATCGCCCATGTCTTCGCACCATATAGTCGAAAGAGGAGCATAACCAGTTGGCAAGAGTTATTCTGCGTTTCCAGGCTGACATGGTTGTTGATGTTAGTACTAGTTCCTAATATAGACGAAATTATTTACGATTTTAAGGTTAGGGCTGTTATTTTCACCAAACCTGTCTGAAACCTTGTTTGATATCGAACGGCTCCGAAAGGTTCCTCCCCATCCTGACGGAGCTGTTTTAAAGAGATACCAAATTTAGACATAGCGGCGTAAAGGCAGCTCCTAATCGTGTTATCGAAGGAGTTGGTGTATGTCGATCCTCTTTTCGCAGGCGCGTTGAATATCTGGTTAATGGTGGATTTACCAGGTCTAAGGCCACGCTGATACTCTGGGAATCGGTTGCTAGATCACCTCATTGTGAGTTGCTAATGAGTGTTCTCGGAAAGCAGGAGTGCAAGTCGAGTAGAAAACCGCTCAGCAGTCTGTTGTGATTGCAGTTTTCCAACGTCGAAATTTCCTTGTACTTGTTGACGGGCGATTTCTGATACACAGCGGCGGATACGTGTCTTCGCTGTAACAAGGATAGTGGTCCGAGTCGATGTTGGATCCTCGGAGTGTACGCACGTCAAGAACACTGGATACATGTCGTCCGTCTATCACAACATAATCTATCTGGTTTTGTGTTTTTCGATCAAGGGACTTGATGCTTTTCCGTCAAAATGGACTTACAGATCATTCTAAGCCGCCTCTATAAGGACGATGGATTTTTATTTCATTGGCATTCCCCGCACGGAGGCGACAAGGGTAACGCTCGACGCTAAGATGCTGTGGCTAACAGAGGGTTTCAATATCGGATAATACTCATGTGGGAACCAATGTGGGAAAACCCGAAGATGGCCAACCCGAAACCCCAATCGATGATGATAGAAAAGACATTCTATTACCATGATGTGGTTCGTACAACGATTAACGATTAACACATAACAAAGCGGCTGAAGGCAATAGATTAGCAGCTGAACTATTTAATCATGGCAGTGAAGAGCTGACAAGATGCAGGCATCAGCTTCTTTGCAGAATATGGTCGGACGAATGCATGCCCGACGAATGGAACGATAAGCTGTACGAGTTATACCGGTGCGTTGATATAGTTCAGCGGAAGGATAGCGGCAACGCTGTCTAGGTCATGCCGTCAGAATGAATGAAAGCGCTCCAGCTTTGAAAGCAATACCCCAAGGTGGAAGCAGAGGGAAGGAAGACCTCCACTCCGTTGGAAGGATCAGATGGAGAGGAACTTGGCTTCATTTGAAATTCCCAACTGGCAAAAAGCAACGAAGAGAAGGATCGAAAGGCGCGCCGCTGTTGTTGATTCGGCTAGAATCATAAGAGACTGAAGAAAATGCAGAAAATCATTATTTACAGTCCCTGTGCAAACCTAACAAATCTAAATTTGATTACTTACGATTTTTTGTGTGTTAAGTCTGAAATGGCGAAACGCATAAATGAAAAGATGATTGGAAATAAATTCATTGAATTGCAGTTTTATTAATTATTGTATCTCTGTACTTAAGTAGCAAATGTTTAATATAAAGTAGATTTAAATATATAAAGGCAATAATGAATAACTACATACATAGAAATAAAAAGTCCTACTATTTGAGGTTGTTGAAGAAATACAAAATACTCAAATATTTTTAATTCAAAACAGATCATAACATTATATATGTACTATATATAATATGTACAGAGATGTGTTTTGCATGTATGTATATACAAAATTGTATATTTAACGAGAGCATTTCAAACCCAAAATTAAATTCTGAGTTCAAATAGTTTACAAATTTTTTTACTTTCCAGGCAACTAAGAAATCAAGAGTTCCAAGCTTAACTTGATAACCAAGATAATTGCAAAAGAAATGTATGGTTGCGATAGGACGTTTGTGTTGACTTTAAATTTATATGCATGTAAGTATTTATAAATATATATTATATTTATATATTACTTTTAAAAAATATATATTATCATGTATTATATTATATGAAAATCAGCAAGAGCGTTAGTTTATGGAATGTTGTAGAGAACTTATTACAATATAGAATCATGTTGAGTGCAAATAAAAAAGATTGATTCACATACATACATACATATATGCACATGTGTATGTATATATATAAATTAATTATGCTATGATATTTCATTCGAGTCTAACAAAATGCAAAGTACTCTGCGAAGTTTAACAATTCTTAAGCGCTTATCCAGAAGCAACTAAGTATAATTGCAATTAAAGCTTTTACATATTCGTACAGAAACGATGTTATGTAAAAACTTGCTAGTAAATAAATTATCAAACTAATATTATACAAATTGTAATCCTTCCATGACTTTTGTTACTATTTAAAAATCAATCGCTTTCGAGACTAAAGCGTAACTAATTTTGCGAAACATTTAAATTGCTAATAACAAGCAATGGAAAGCTCCTGTACTAAGATAACATTTTGGTGCATTCATTACTTATACAACATCTAGAATAAACATAGTAACATCCAGAATGTGTGTTGACTAAAGTTTTCAATTTATGCTTATATGAATTTAATTTAGTAAACTCTTCAGTGAGGCTTCGATGGTTTGTAGGGGCTCTTCATCCAATAAGATCGTACGATGGTTACCTTGTACGATGAGAATATCAACTTTACCGTTGCATACTTCATTTAAGCCATAATCCAATTCTAATTTTGAATAATTCTCAGTTGGCTTAATCAACGTTACGTCACATTGCAGTTTTTGTGTAACAGAATATTTATCAGATGCCGCCAATTTGTAATAGAACGATGCAGCAGCCTTTTTCACCTTGAGTTATGAAGAAAGAACAAGAAAACATTAAAATTAAACGATGGACTTTGCACAAAACTTCAATTATTGTACATACCAATTCAACTGGTTTTTCCAAAGCAGCAGCTACTATCTCCGCGCATTTGTCTACTTTGCCCTCAAACGTTGGAAATTCTAGCAGCAGTTTTGCCACCTATATAAATGTAAGGAATAAATCATATTAGAATTGTTCAATAATGTCAAATAAGGATTAGTATTTTGCAATATTTGCATGATTTTTTTTATAAAATACTTACACTATAGTCAGTTTTAGCTGCAACCATGCCAAAGTATGCCAGTGCGAATGCATGATTCTGTTGCTCGTCGTCGGATGCGTTGTATCGCTTCTTGAAGTTTTCTGTGTACCAGTTCACATATTTGGGCGCACCATCCAATAAAACTAGTTTGACCTTTTCCTTATTTTTCTCCAACTCAACAGCCAAAGCAAATGCAACAGTTGCACCAAAGGAGTAGCCAGCAATTGAATATGGACCCTTGGGTTGAACTTTACGTATATGTTTTATGTAGAATTTCGCTAAAGCCTCAATAGACTCGAGATCAGCATCAGCTGTGCATTGCAGTCCATAGACAGGGCAATCTAGACGTTTTGCAACTTCTTTCAGTGCATCCACAAAACCTTCAATAGGCGAAACAAAGAAGATTGGTGTTTTCTTTGAATCCGCAGGGACAGCTGATTCCAAGCGGACAATCGTCTCAGAAGGCATTAGTTCAGTCACAAAGACGACCTGAGTTCCATCACCGATAGGTGTTGGTGAACGCGTTTCCGTTGCGTTATCCGCGGAAGAAGACTGTTCAGTGGCACCGCCATCTAGTTTCTTTAATTGACCGAAAGTTAGCGCACGAATTTCTTGTGGCGACATTACTATATCAAAGCAACGCTCTAATGTCTGCTTTATTTCGGAACTCATTAGAGAATCCATACCAAGATCGGCAAGGGAAGCTGCATCTTGTACGTTCTTCACATCACGCAGACCTAAAATATTTGCTATGGCTGCTACTAAACTAACGCCACCGGATGAATCATTGCTTCGCTTTTCTGCTACCACCATTGATGCCAAAACAGGATGAGGTTGTTGTAAGAATAGATCAATTGTTTGAAGGCAGGAAGTCATACGCTGTGGCAATGTTCCTCCAATAACGGTGTCATTATCACCGAGTCCCTCCAATACAAGACCTGTATCACCAATTGCACCCCACTGTATAGCTAAACCGGGCAATCCATTGGCACGACGTTGTTCACAAATGCGCTCCATGGCAGAATTGGCCAAACCGTAATTGGATTGACCAACATTACCGCGACCGCATGAAACACTGGAGAAACATACAAAGTAGTCTAATTCGGGGCAGAGAGTACGAGAGTGCAAGTCCAAGAATTTGGTTCCATCCACTTTTGGCTTGCAGACTGTCTGGTAGTCTTGAACAGTCTGATCTTCAATGAGAGCGTCACGTAATACAGCAGCCAAATTGAATATACCTCCGACCAAAGCCAGTTTATTTGCATTTTGCAATAACTTCTTGCATCCTTCAGAAGTTGTCACGTCATTTGTGTCTACAACAACTTTAACGCCACGCTCCTCCCATCTTCGTACCATAAGCGTTTGGTAACCGGTTTTTATGCCTGATCTTGAAGTTAACACAATGTATCTAGCTCCACGTAATACCATCCAATGAGTTAATTCCAAACCGAAACCTCCCAAACCTCCTACAAGTATATAACTCTTATCTGGATGCATATATGTGCGTGGTATTGCGTTTACTAGTCTTGATGTTGGCTTTAGTGTTTTCTTTCCAGGTTCCTCATCGCGAACCTTTATTACTACTTTACCAATATGTCTACCGGAAGCCATGAAACGGAATGCCTGTTCAACTTGGAATTCATTGAATACAGATGTCGGTAAGGGACGAACTGCACCGTTTTTAATGCCTTCAGCAACTAGAGAGACAACACGATTTTGCATTTCTTCTTCTCCCTCCATAACACTGTCCAACAGAATACCGTGGAATGATGTGTTTTTAAGGAATACAGACATTCCAAGTGGGCTGTTGTTGCTCAAATCGAATTTTCCGATTTCTAGGAAGCGTCCATTGATACCCAAACAACGAACAGATGCTTGCAGTTTTTCTTCAGAAAGTGAGTTAAGCACTAAATCGACACCTTTGCCTTGAGTTTCTCTCATAATCAATTGTTCGAAAGAAGTGTCACGTGAATTTCCAATGTATTTATCTTGAAGTTTTGGGAATCGTTCTTTTAAGAATTGCCGCTTTTCTTGGCTACCAACAGTAGTAAATACAGTCAGACCATAATGAAGAGCGACGGAAATAGCTGCTTGGCCAACACCACCAGAACCAGCATGGATCAATATCTTTTCTCCCTTCTTCATTTCTCCACGTACAACCAATGCGTAGTAGACTGTAGAATAAACGCAAGGCACTGTGGATGCCTCCTCCATGGTCCAATTCGAAGGGATTTCCCACATCATGTTCTTACTAGCCAGACAAGTGGTGGCCAAAGATTTCGCAGGGACCATAGCCATAACTCTTTTACCGGATGAATCACGTCCAGAAAATTCAAGACCAAGCACACAATCTTGTTGCGCCAAATCACCGGGTAGAGCATCAGCAGATAATTTACCAGAAGACAACATAACGTCACGGAAATTAATGGGTGCATAGTAAACGGAGCACAACTCTAATCCCTCGGTCTTTACATTTTGGGATGGCGATGCTTCGATCCATTTCAACGACGCGAGATCACCTGAAACAAACAAAGGAAAATATTAATTATAATCAAACAGAGAAAGTATAAAGTATGCTTTCTCACCTTTAACCAAAGCGTTGACATAAGCGTGCTCCACCTGCAATGTTGCAAGTTCTTTCTCCAATTTCAAGTGACGGAATGTTCCCCAGCTGCCATTTTTAAGTACATTCGATGTTAAATCCTTCACGAGTTGCTCCGTGTAGAACTTTGAGCTTAACGAAAACTTCTCAGCATTAACATCCTGAATGAAGACGGTTCTTACAAATTTGCCACCATTCTCGTATGTAACACATGTGGTTAAACCAACGGCACCAAACACTTCTTCACCTTGGCAAACAATGTAAATGTATTTTTCTTCTTCTGCGGCCTTTGAAAGCGCAAGTTTTAAGTCCTCTAACCAGTCAAAGTTCTTCTCGGTTACGTTAATAACTACTGCCTTGCGCTTTTTCAAATCTACGGCGCGTCTTGCCACAATAAGGGTACGAGAATCACCTTTGTTCAAGTTTTGTACAACAGCAAAACCATATTTGGACAATAACGCGGCTCCACCTTTGTTGTACGAACTGACGCTTTCGTCAAAAATTAAAAATCCGTTTTCTTTGATACTGGCAATACTATTTTCCAAGACGGCTGTATCAGGGCGAGAAAGTACATCACTTCCAAATAAGAAGTGACAATTCTGCTCAACCGGCTCCTTTGTCACATTTTTCGATACAACTCGCACTCCAAAATCATTCAAAGCAGTTTTGATGCTTTCTTCATCTTTGCTAGCTGTAGCTACGGAAATGTCAGCAGCAACGGCAGGTTCACCCTCAATCAATTGAACCAGCTTGCCAGCCACCAATGAATCGGGGTTACGTCCACTAGCCAGTTCCACACCTTTAATTTTGAACGAGCGTTCAGCATTTTCAATTACAATTTGTACAGCAACGGCAAGAGCGTGAGATCCAGCCTTTCCGGAGTTCTCGTGCAACTCTGAGTTATTAGTATTTGGTACGAATGTGTAGCGCTCCAAAGTTGGGGGATTTTGTGCGTTTGGTCTCTTTTGTGCTAAAGAAGCTTTCAAACCTCTCAACTCAACACCACCACTTTTGATGACATTGATGTCGCTGTACATATATACAGGTATACCAACATTTTTCAGATCATCTTCTGGTAGTTGAGACAAAATTTCCAAATGTTTAGCCGGGTTGATAACCGCCTTTTCAATACGTGTAGGCAGATAGAGCTCACGCAGATCCTTGCTCAAGATACTAAACTGCAACATTGTATCCATGAAACTAATCCAGTTATCCACCCATTGTAACTTTCCAGTACGAGAAGATATGTCCGATGTGACAATACCACGGAAAATTCCACCGTAATCGTAGCCACGCAAGCGCAATTCCTTGTACACATCATTTGCAACTAGTTCGCGGCCAACAGTGTCGGGTTGGAGGGGTTCCAAGGGCAATTCCTCTTGTGTGATATTATCCACGATCTTAATTTTTCCAGACATCGCCAAGCTTCCACCTTCGCAAATCTCAAAAGCTCCGGTACCATCGAAGAAGTTAATACCAAATTTAGTAACATTCTCTTTGTTTAGAATTGTCGCACGATGGAATATCAAGTCCTCCATAACTACAGCCGCCTTATTAAAGTCAACGCCACGCATTTTTGCGAATGTCATCCATGCTAGAGTCATGTAGCCAGTGGCGGGGAACAATATACGTCCATCAATCGTATGGCCAATAACAAATGCATCATCATCACTTGACAAATCAATATCAATAACTGTGTCGCCTGAAGATTTAGCAGCACCATATTTTGGCACCAACCATCTCTGAGAGTGGTCCCAGCCAATTTTGGAATTCAACATGGGAGTTCCACGTCCCACAGGATATGAAATTGGACGTACTAAGCTCTGTACCTGTGGCTGGGCTCCAGCTGCGTATAATTTTCCAATATTAGCCAAAAGGAATTCAGCGTTGTTTGGATGTCCGCGCTTTACTAAGCTTACATTTAAAACGTCGCGTCCAAGTGCGCGCTTCAGAATGGCTTGTAATAAACCATGAGGAGCAATTTCAATGCAAATTGCATTTGTTGGAATGTGCTGCAATGCCTCGTAGAAGAGTACAGGTGATAGCATATTGTTTACATGATAAGCTGCTGACGACTGCTTCGCAACTGGAGTATTCCAAGCACTCTCCGGAATACTGCTGCTTATCCAACGAGATGAACGATTTTTGGCGGTAGGAATAATTTTCTCCAACATTTGTCTCAGCTTTGGTGCTGCACCGGCAATGTATTTACTATGGAATGCGAAGCCCGATGAGCTGACAGCCTTTGCGAATACACCTTCGCCATTTAACTTCGCTACTAGTGCATCAATCGATTCACCGGGTCCAGCAATTGTACAGTTATCTTGGTTATTGTGGCAAACTGGATAACAATCAGTAGGCACAAGCTTATGAGCATCATCCCATGATAAACCGACAGCAGCCATTTTACCCTTGGGCAAGTTTGATTCCTTAATGGCACGACCTCGCCAGTATGTGGCCAAAACTGCTTGATCTGCTGTCAAACCACCATCTGCGTAAGCACAACCTAACTCACCAACGGAATGACCAAGAATACCATCTGGGTGGATACCAAGTGACGACAACAAGTCAGTTAGAGCGACTTGAGTGGTCGTAATGGAAACGAAGGAGTTAACAATGTCGGTGAATTTGTCGTCAGTGGAACGGGTTAAGATTTCTAGTAAATCAATGCCTTCAGGACGCAAAATTTCGGCACAACGATGAATAGACTTGTTAAATACATCGAATTGCAGGAGATCTTTAGCCATACTAGCCCATTGACTGCCCATACCAGAGTAAACAAACCAAATGGGGCGGTTTTCTTCCGAAAATTCCACCACCTCACGTTGCACGGATCCCTTAGATGTCAAAACGTCGTAACCACGGTAATAGTGGAGGGGTATGTTTTTGGTATGAATTCCATTGATTAAAGCCAAATATTCATCGTCGTCACGGTGTGTGGCTGCGTCTTCGAGCAGATCTTGTACGGCATCTGATGTACGACCAGAAGCGATAACTAGTTTAGGTGGGCCGTCACGGGGAGTAATAGTTTTTGGCTTTGGATTCGATTTTAGAATAATATGAGCATTAGCTCCGCCAAAACCGAAGGAGTTAAGACCAATAATACCACCGTTCCAAGGCAGATTTTTGTCGACTACCTGTAAGCGACCGTCCATCAATCCATACAAATCAGGATTTGGTTTGGTGTAATGTAAGTTAGCAGGAATTACACCTTCTTCCATTGCAATTAAGATTTTGGCAATAGAGCATACACCAGATGCGGGTTCTGAATGTCCCATATTTGATTTGACAGAACCAATCAACAAGGGAGTTTTGCGATCTTTACAAAAGAAATCTGTGATCGAGTTGACTTCCTGTGGATCTCCGACCTTAGTACCAGTACCATGAGCTTCAACGTACACAACTTCGTTAGGGTCCAAATTGATTTCTTCATAGGTTTCACGAATCAAACGATTCTGCATACGTCCATCAGGATAAGTAATACCGTTTTCCTTGAAACCATCGGTATTTGTGCGAGCATTCAAAATTGAAGCGTAAACTCTCTTGGCCGCTGAGACGCGTTGCAAAAGTAACACAACTACACCATCGGAACGCACATAACCAGCACCAGTCTCGTCAAAAGCCTTGCACATACCACTGTCACTTAACATGTTCAAACGTCTGAACTGCAAGGACATCTCTGGTTTTAAAATTAAATTAGAACCGCACACAAATGCTGCGTCACATCTGCCAGCACGCATATCCGAAAAGGCCTGAGATAGAGCATACAAGGAACTGGAGCAGGCGGTATCAACGGCAAAACTTGGTCCTTTCAAATCGAATGTATAGGAAATACGATTCGCAAACATAGCACGTGCACAACCGGTTAAACCATAACCATTTACACGATCTGCATTTTCAGTCCAGTGGTTCTCGGTTTCTGAGTTAGACACACCAATGTACACACCGGTGCGTGAGCCACGCAAATCAGATGGATTAAGACCTGCATCTATAATAGCCTCGTAAGTCGACTCCAACAACATACGCATTTGAGGATCCATACATTCTGCTTGTTTTGCAGAAACGCTAAAGAACTGTTGATCAAAAACTTCTAAATCATCGGCTTTAATTTTTCCCAGTCTTTCAGGTAAACCATAGAGACCTGAAATACAAAATATAATGTAATAAAAAAAAACCCATTAGCAACACTGTTACATTACCTCTTTCCCAACGTCTTGGATCATCATTGACTAAATCCACACCATCATAGAGATTTCGTTTAAACTCATCAATACTCGAGCTCTCGGGTAGTCTGCCAGAAAAACCAGTTATAACGATATCGTCACTCAATACCGAATGGTGATTATAGCGTCCACCTAAATTCAATGGAACACCACGCTCAGTGTCGTCAGCAATGACGTCCTCTGCAAAACGGGCTGGCATTTTGTTAGCTAGTACTATCTGCTCTTTCGGCTGTTGAACGCAATTCGGTTCCACAGAATTTTGTTGATGATGTTTGTTGCGACGTCTTTTTCGTCGGTTTGAGCGCGACTTTGCGTTTTTCTGTAATGGTGATGGCGGCGTATTAGTAACAGCACCAGTTTTTGAATTATTACTTTTAACAGTGTTTTGCAGCAGCTTGAAGGAACTGAAAGTAAAATAAACAAACCGATAAAAAATCAGTAATAAGTGCAAGATTGTATGTGCATTTACAAGTAGTTTAACTATCTCAGGTGCCCAACAAGTACACTTAAATATATTTTCTTCAGAATAAGGCATGTAATTTTCTCATATTTCAAATATAGTGGAAATATTTTACAGAAAACAAGTTTTTATAAATAACATTCTGGCAACCACAAGCAACAAATCAATGGCCATTAAAATTAAAATTCTCTTTTTGTCTTTCAAATTAAAGAGAGCAACGCAGCGAATAGGTGTAATAAAGAGTAATGCAATCAAAGAGAAATCAGTAAAAATCTTTTCTCTCTGTATATACATATGCCAATGTGTACATATTTATGTACATACACGTGAAATCAGCATGGCGTGGTTTGCCGCCGCATGTCTAACAAAAACATTGGTATACAAATCCAAAATCAGGTGATTCTTGCTTTTACTTCATCAAATGCACACCCATAATATATATGTAAGCTACTAAGTACATATATATGTACAAGCGTAGCGAGAGTGCTTCCAAGTAAACTATTAGTGAGCAAAATATACGTTTTTAAGCTGCAATTCTGCAATACTAGTTTCGATACAAACTTTAGATGGATCACACAAAATGTTCGAGAAGACATTTCAATATTACGTATGTATACATACACGTATGTATGTATGCACGTATGTATGTATGTGCGTGGGATATTTGTTTACACTACAGTTAACTTTTAAGGCTCCGAACAGCTGATCTGTATGATTGCAACTCATACGTATGTACATATGTACATACATATGTATGTATGTACGCAGGTATACTGCATAATTAGTTCTGTTCGGTTATTAGATAGGCAGTAGCAAATTTTTGCTGAACTTTACTGAATCGCGTTCGTTGAGACAAGAACTCAGTAAAGTTAGTAACGAGAGAGCGCAATTTTGACGTTTGGTTTCGAGAGAGAGTTGCAAATTCGTGCTGGGAAAATTTCAGCCAGTTTTTTAACTGTAGCAATTATGGAAAACAGCTGATTTGTGATCATATGATTGAATTTTTGTCAACAAAAAAAAAATGGATTTAAAATTAAATACTATGACACTTCAATATGACTGATATACTACCGAAATAAGTGCCCAAATATAATTTTGTGATATCAACGATGCAATAAAATAGTTAAGATAGTCATTAAATGAGAATGTGGTGGTAGTGAATTGGAATTATCGCCCGCATACCATTTGTTGATGGAGAATTAGAATATATTTTTATCTTTAGTGCAACGTTAATTGAAAGCAGTGCCGACCAAATGAGCCTCAAAACATTGATTTTTGCAGTGGTCAAAGTGACGATATTGAATTCCTATGCTGCCGCAAGCGTCGACGAGGCACAAAATTATTAGTGGCATTTATAAAGGAAAAATAAAGCTCTTGCTAAGTTTTTATTTAAACAGAATCGAATTTGTAGAGTTTATAGAGTTGAGTTAATATAGCCGGCATACACGGAAAAAGAATTTCAAACTTATTTTCGTATTTCATTCATCATTCCTGAAAATCTAAGCATGTAAAACAAGTTTTATATAAATTTTCGACCTTTAAAAGGACTATTTCAAAAAAAAAACATATTGATATCTTTATCGTTGGACGGCTATAAAGCATTAGGAATTTTATTAATGTTGAAATACAAAAAATTTTGAATACAATTAATAAATTAAGAATGCTATATAATTGCCAGTTTTACTAAAATACTTAGGAAAATACTTGAAAGCAGAAAAAAGAAACCATAAATGAACGGATCCAAATGAAACGGCCAAAATAAACAGCTGTCTACAATTTGCTGGATTTTTTTTTACTGAATCCTGATCGGTAAATTCTTTCTATGGGAGAGTAAGACATCTTAATCTCTCAATTTCGTTACTGGCTAATTTTTACTGACAAACCTCAACGAACACATCTATTATTTATATAAATACATATGTTTGTACATACATACATATATGCTCTTGTAAGCAATAGCGCACCAAAAGTTTCACAGTAAATGTGTATGTACGGTTGTAGAATTATATCGAATTCCGTACTCCCGCATGCAGAATTATAAATATTATATATTAATAAATACATAATTTTGTATATATATATGTACATAGTAGGTATGTGTGTGATTTGCATCATTGCTTGTCGTCGTCAGTATATTTAATATACATATATACATACATATGCATATATATATATATTTTTTTTAATTTTAAACTATAATTTATAAAAAAGAATCTTTGGGCATACATAGATTCATATACGATTTTCTTTGAAATTCTTTTCGTGAGTCGCGACTAAATTCCAGTAGCACCCTCGACATTTTGGGTTTTTATACTCTATTTTTAACCGGCTAGAGACTGTCGCTCCCGCAACATTCCGCCCCAAATCGTTTTAGGCCTTAATTTACCATAGCAGCAACAACAACAACACAACAACAAATAGCTAACAAAACTAAAGCATATGTTCTAGATAGGTAAGATTTTTAACACTTTTTATTGACATACATACATAAGTACATATGTACATATCTGAAAATATTCGCAAAAGAAATACAAATAAAAATAAATTTCAAAGCTTTTTAAAGTTAAAACTATGAAAAAATATATACAATAATGTATATACATATGTATGCATGTATGCCTGTATTTGTGTATGTGTATAACGCTCGTGTGTTGCACGCTTGAGAGAGAGTGTTTATTCGTCATCAACGCGTGTACACTTTTTCGTTTATACTGCCGGCATGTGTACATACACTACTGCGTCTGAGCATATTACCCGCCCTCTCGCCTTTTACACTTTTTCTGGGTAAAGTGAGATAGGGTGGCGTGATTTCAAGTTCATTGATGTTTTTAGTGATAAGTTTATTACAAACGTAATTTGTCTATCGCATAACTTCAGTAAATAATTTTATTTTGTTCTTTGCTGTTTTTTGCACTTTACTGTGATTGTACAATGTTCTAACGAATTAACATACTCACATATGTACATACACATACTTACATACTTACATACATATGTATGTATATATATTAATGTACATAAGCACGTATTCATATAACTTTTTACATATGTTATTTATACATAATATAAATAAACAGATATTTAGTACATATGTATGTACACGTATGTGTCAATTTCTCCAATTTTTCTATCTAAATATGTACATACATACATATGTACATAAACACATTAGTATGTACATATGTATGTGCATATGTCATGTAATAAAGTCTTTCCGGGATTATTAAGCGGACAATAGTCTCGTAAAGAATTCTTAAGTACAGAATTTATTATTTGTATCTTTTGTTATTATCATCATTTATGTGATATTTTGGTCTTTTTTATCTATCAGTTGGTTCTAGTAACTCCTGCTCAATATAATAACTACATAATTATTGTGTACATACCTACATATTTTATTTATGGTCTCATATTTTGGCAATAGAAATTAGTCAGTTAAGAGATAGCTGAAAATTTAACATACTTACGAGTATGTATGTATGTATGCACCTACACTGTTCTCTTTGGGAAACACAGACAGCACACAAAGTAGAAGAATGAGAGTAAGATAAGAATTGGCAAGTTTTGTGCTTATGATAAAAAAAAAACTTATTTAAGGCACGAAAACTAAAATTGAAAGGTAAACTAAATAACAGTTATTATCATTTTAAATGATTTTAAATAGTTCTTAAAGGGTTATAGGTACGCAGTTGCTTAGCTATAAAAAAAACATCTTAAAATATCCACTATTTTGCGAAATACAATAGTGAACAATAATGAACTCAAAACAAAAAAAGGTGCTTGGCGGTGATCTCAAAAAAGCATGTCTCCTTTAAACAATAGATCAATGAAGCTATTAAACGATGGAATACTAAAAAAAAAAAAAAATTATTAAAAAATACTTTGGTTTTCTACGGCAGTTTGTACTTCTAAAATGTTGATAATAATGTGCAAATTTTTCGGCTTCTTATTTTTAAAAAATTCTAACTGCTTATAACCTTAAAAAAATTTCTGAAACAACTGCAGATGAATGTTCTAATTTTTGAACGACTTAGGCAGATATGACCCTCATGCGAATAGAATGTTGATCGATTATCAGTTCATAACTATTTTTTTTTTAATTTTTATATTACAAAAGCAAATTTTTAATTTTAATTTTCGACTAAATATACATGTAATTTTGCTAAAATTAAAAATAAATTTAATAAAAGTTAAGAAACTGTTTTTCTTGTTCTTGTAACCATACAAATATTCCCCAAAGTGCCTTTTGGGGAATGTTCCAGGAGTGACAGTACTTCGCGGGACCTATTGGATTTTAGTCGCCTCTTACGACAGGCATGTCTTACTGCGGGTAAATTTTTGAACCCCTAACCCGCAAGGGTTTCTATAAGAAATTAAACCTATGTCGTTTGTTCTCCCAATTTCAATCCAGTAATTGAATTAAATTTCTGCTTAATTAATCTTATTTTTTTTTCATTCTCTTCGAGAACTTCTGGAGAAACGCTATATAGGAAAAACCGTTCAGGATTTATTTTTTAACTTTCACCTTTCGAGTGTTTTTTCCCCATTCAAATGCTTTTATTTTTCTCATTTCTTACTAACTACTAGACAATTTAATGAGAGAGAAAAAAGTATTAAGTTAGAAAACATATCATTCTATGATTTTTAGATATCGCATATGTTAAATTGTTAAAAAAAAGTATAAAACCTATTTTGTTCACTGTAATCGCCTATTATACAATTGCATATACAATATTACATTACACACTATATACATATGTATGTATGTTCGTATGCATGTATAGCCCAAAACTTTGCCACAGTCAGAAGCAATCGATTTTTTTCCTTGTTTGTTTTCTTATTTTCTTTTCTTTTTTTTTTTTTTCTTTTGCTGCATCAATTATTGTAATCAATTCAAAATAAATACCAATTAAGTAATTAGAATGCGTCCACTTAGTTAGCATTACATTTCAATGAGCTTCCGAGCCATAAGTCATTCACTTTTTTCGCCACTCTATGAACGTGTTCCTTCCTCTGTCTAGGCGGTAGGAATAAAGCTAGTTGAAATGTAGGCAAAACTCATTGGCTGGCAGCACCTAGGAAGTCGACCTATTGACTCGGAACTTAAAACACAACAACTTCCATTATAAATGTTCATTTTGCATATGTATGTATGTATTGAAACTTTCACGGCAACGTGCACTGTTGTGTAGTTTAGTGTCGATAGTACAAATAATATAAAAAAAATCGTAAAATTTCGAAAAACTCACATAATTGTATGTACATATGTATCTAAGTATATGTTTATGTCAATATGTATTTATTCAGTTGCGTTCAAATTAATTCCCAAAATCAAAATTATGTATTCTAATTTCTATTGAGCGCAATTTACGCTTATTTTTTATTTGGTAAATATAGTATTTGATACATATGTATATATGTATGTACATACACAAATACAAATTGCATATGTATGTATGTACAAGCTGGTATTACATCAGCTTCGCGCCAGTTAAATACTAGTTCATTCCGCATTCGAACCGTGAATCTCAGACCTGTCAGCGACCACCTCTAAGCCGTAATTATAAGAAGAAGAAGAAAACGTCAAACTGCACACTAAACAAAAGCCTTTACCCTTGAAAAACAACTAGCGAACTGGTATGTTTTTATCCTTAAAATACTAGTATTAAATTAGAATTTTTAAATAAAACTTTTGCTTTCGACAGCAGGGTATGTATGTATGTATATATGCACATTAGTGTAGCTAGGTTGAAGGTTTATATTTATATGTATTTATGCATGTAAGCATATTTAAATATAAATATGTAGTCACAAAATAACCTTAAGCTTCACGACATTTCATTAAACTACATAACGCATTCTTAAATAACCTAAGACACCCATCAATTTAATTAAAATATATAGTAAATGTCCATATATGTACATATATTAACAATTTGAAAAATTCGGCACAAATACAGGAAGTAAGGGTGTACACGCTTCGAAAAAACTCCCGAAATATTTATGAGTTTCTTTATGTAAGCATACGGGAAGAGTATGTATGTATGTATGTATGTACTTTTGCCCTACGAAGAATTATATGTGTGTATGGATTGGCATGGCATAAAAGGAGCATCTAAAAGCAAAAATTTTATATATTTACATGCATACATATGTACATACATATAATTGAAATGAAGACTTACTGTAATTAAAGAACGACAACTGCAATATTTCATATAAATTTAGAAGCCATACTTTAAGTACTTCAATATGTATGTACATACATATATAATATATCCTATGTAAATACATAGATGGGTAAATACATTTATTAAAATCTCGTAGTTTTCTATATTATGTAGAATAAAATTTAACTGAATTATATACTCCTAAAAACCTTTGAAGGGTAATATCAAAAAATATTCAAAAACTTTGTATTCACGAACCGTTTTTTTTTCTCTCTCAAAAAATTAAAATCTTCAAGTACTTACATACGTAAATATGTATGCACATACAAATGAATCAAAATGGACTGCCAAAGTTGTGAATATGAGCTATTACTTACATACAGTGCATAAAGATAAAAAAATTAAGCTCATTAATTACCCTCATAATAGCGAAAGTACAAGTATACAAATATTTTTAAGTGTAATGTCTATGTTATGTATTAATTTATTAAACTTTGAAAGAACCGAACTTTGACTTTCAACCATTATTACTGTTTTTTTTTTTGGATTATTTACTTTAAATGCTCAACATTAGGATAGAAATTTTTTAAATATATTCAATTTATTATTTAGAGTATTTTCTTTTTTTTTATAACGGTGAGCAATTATTGTAATACATACATACATATATACAGATTATCACATATTTCCGGAGCCGCAGCGCGTGTTAGTACGCGCAGAGCAACAGTTTCGAACCTAGGCTAGATCAATATCAAGCAAAATGTGGAAAGTTTTTTGAATTATCGGTCCCTCTACGGCAGTAAATGTAATAACATCTGAGTTATATTATATTTTAGTCGTTAAAATTATAACTCAAACGATCGGGAAGGAGATAACAATTTTATTTGAAGCCATAATGCGATGAACCGGATAGAAATATAATTTACAAATGTATATTTACAAAAGGTTTCTTTAATCATTGTGAATAAATAATTACGTAAATACATTTATGTATCGGAAAAATTTTCCATGGATTTAAATAATAGAATAGAAAAAATAGAATATTCAGGAAAAAAAAAATACTCGAAACGATTGTTTTAATTTTTCATTCTATTTTGAAGTGTCCAAACGTTTGCAGATAATAAAAATTTGCGGCAGCCAAGATAAATATTGTAGTAAATTAAAACAAAAACAATTACTATTTCATTAAGGGGCACACCTAGTGTGAAATTTCAAAAAAAAAAAATCATATTTCGGTAGATTACACCTTTAAAAATAACATATAAAAATTTGAAATCAATATCTCAAATAGTTTTTGAGTTCTAGCAATTTAAAGTGCAGCCGCTCGGCAGCTAGAGAGTCTCATTAGCTACGAGTGAAAACGAACATTTTATCTTTAAACGCGTTTTTCTCGAAACAGCATTTTCCGAATTTGCTGCAGTGATTACTCAAAAACAAATGATCCGATCACTATCGAATTTTTTTTAAATGTTCTATATATAGTTCTCTGTACAATGACCTATCGATTTTTGAACTGATCAAAAAATCGCATTTTGGCAGGCCAAAAACGATCAAAATTTTGGGTAAAATTCGACTATTTTTTTTTTAAACGCCGTCATATTGTCCATTTTTGATTTTTTTTTATCGTAGGTCATTGTACAGACAAAATTTAGAGAATTTTTTTTTAGATTTCATCCACGGAGAAGGCCGGAATCACTGCAGCAGTGAAGGACCTCTTTTTTTTGCGCCGTTGGAGATCGACTATAACTTAAAAAATATTAAATTTTTTTCTTCAAAAATTTCACTGTATATTCTTGAAACATATATAAATATATTCTTAAAATTTTGAAATAATTGATAAACTATTTTTTTTTTTTAAATAATTCCCAAAATTTCCCTTTTTAGGCCATTAAACTAGGTATGCTCTTTAACTATATAATTAACTACTAGTAAGAATTAGCAAGAGAAAAAATAAATTCAAAAAGGATGAGTTTGGTCATACATATCGCCTGTGAATACTCATTATTGTAGAAATTGTGGAAAGTACTTGTTGAAAGCCTTTCAGAATGGTTTTACACAACAGTTAAGGATTTTTTCACTTTTCAAATTTAAAGTTTCGCGACTTACAACTTATAAAACTTAAAGCAGCTCACATAACGATTTTATGATTTATATGACAAAATTTGTTTACAATGTCGAAATATGTTTTGCAGAGCATGAGCAATGAAAATAATATTTTTGCTATGTACCTTTGTATGTACATAACTTATATTATTGAATATTCTTAAAAAAAAAACGGTGCGGAACAAATTTTTGTTGAGGTCACAGTGCTGAGTACCTAATCGAGCAATTTAAGATAAGCATAAGTGTCAATAAAATTTATTTCATATTTTGTAATTTTCTCGTTTTGTAATAATCATTTGTGAAAATTCCGCAGTATGCAAATATACATATGTATGTATGTACATGCATACATCTAAGTGGTTGTTTTCCTAACCATACACACACGTCGGCAAATTGAGGTACATACCGAAAATCAGGCAACCCTTGCGATATATCCTTTTCGTTTCTTTGCGACAGCCGCTTTTAGCGATTACTTCCTTTTTAAGCTTTCAACGAGTTTGAGCCTATTTTATTTCACAATTTAATTTTAAATATTGTAGCACTAAATCGGTTGTAGTTCAAATTTTTTTGTTATTTTATTTTTAATATTTTAACAATTTTTTTTTAAAAGAATCACCGGTAGGAGTATTTACATATATTTACTTTAAATTTGAAAAATGTAATTAATTTATAATGTGTGTAGGCAAGTAGGCATGTACATATGTATATATAAATATATAGAAGTATGTACTAACGGCGCATGGGCAATTTGAAATTATATCAGCTTTTTTAACAATATATTAATTTAATATAGCAATAATTATGAATAAATCCCTTTTAACATATGTATATGCTATGCATTAAGGTACAATTGTCCGTGCAAAGTTTATTCCCAATTTTGTTTTTTTTTTCACTAACTCACTTTTATTCACCGTTAAATGGAAAAATTCCGTTTATACCACACTAAAGTATTTCCAGCACTTGCAAATTGTGTGTGAAGTCAAGTTTCAACTTCTATCCGCCAAGTTTTAAAGCCGACAAACAGCTCGAGCTATACGTATTGACGTTATGAATTGTCAATGAAGACTGTTTCTAAAATGCAAAAGCTTGCCTGCATTTAAAAGTTGGTGGTTGATGGACAACAATTGATACCGCTGTTAATATGTGAAATCATGACGTTGCGCCAGCTACAAAACCGACACGCAACGAAAAAAGAGCACGAAACTAATCTCTTTCTTAGAGGTGACATCTACAGTAGAACAAGTAGTGAACGACATGACTTTTATTTTGATTGTACTTAAGCGTACATGAACTTATGATTTCGCAAAGCGTACACATGTATGATCAATACATTGTATTCAAGTATGGCTATCAATTATTTAAAAATACAATATTTATATTGCAAACTGCTAATCGCTAATCGTCCGAGATGGATTTCTGAGATATTTAGAAAAATTTTTCAAGCTTTAAATTTTCATTCAACCCATATGTAATCTAGTAGGTTTATTGTCATTTTTCAATTGTATATCTTTAAATTTGTAAATAATATTAAACATTTGCTCTGTTAGGTGAGAAATGTCGATAAAAGTTTGCAAGAGTTTTGCCACATTTTACTGACGTTTTGCCTCGCCGAACAGGGTTCACTAAAATTCTGTTACAATTGCTACTGTCCATCAGGTCAACGAACAGAGCTTTTGTAACATCTGAGTAAATATTTTTGTACATATCTGAGTAAATATCTGCTTAAATTTAGCTATATACGTAATTTTCGAATAGTTGACAAATTTTTTAAATTGATAAATTTGATTCAACATGTATTACTGTGCGACATCATCTTAGACAAATCATTTTGAGCAGCCCTTAAAATTGCTCTTACGCCACTAAACGCACACATGTTAACAACGATGATGATAAGTAGAATCACCTCATCCGCTGAGCCAACCAAAATCCGTAGCTAACAATATGAGCGAAAGCTTTCATTTTATGTCCACAGCGTCGGAGAAATTAGAGACGAAGTGTTCTTCTCTGACTGAATAAACTACTGCTCCCAATGAGAGCGCGAGCTTATGTTGAGAAATGTTGAGTTTCATATTGCAAATGTCAACATGCTTTCATTGGTATGTATGACTGTAAAGAGAATGCCGGTAATTTACCCAGTAGCAAAGGTAACGACTTTTCATTACAGTAGTAAGTTACAGCAGATGTTTATGTTAAAAACAATAGAAAAAGATGGCTGTGGGTTAGTGTTGCCATTTTATTTATTATCAAACAAGGATTAGCTGTTTTCGACCATGTCGAAGTCTTTACGCCTTTCATGACCATATAAAATTTATGATATTTCAATTTATGATTAACTGGCCTATTCTCATTATTTACCGGCAAAGTAAATTTTGTTACTTTTTTTTAACACTCGAAATTGAATTTGGTATTCAGGCGAACTGCTTTTTTTGTCCTTGTCAAATTACATTTGCTAGTTGGTAAAGTAAAAAGAAGTAAAAGAAGTCGTTTGTTGTTGGAAAGCAAATTTTCCCGGCTTTTACTTTGACAATGAAATTTGAAATATAGTGCAGTGAACGCGAAACAGTAGGATGTTTCATTGAAGTTAGACAATTGCTCCCAACGAATTCCTGAATTCGGTGTTTTAATTTTTTTTTTTTTTGCATATATAATACTATTTACGTGTGTAGAAATGCCTTTTTGGCAGATTTTTAATTCAAAACCTCACATCTGAACAAATTGGTTGTGTAGGCGCAGATTTTTAATTCAAAACCTCACATCTGAACAAATTGGTTGTGTAGGCGCTGTACGAAATAGTCCTCTGATTTGGCTAATTTTCGGTGACAATGTTTATTTCTAGATACGAATGTATTGTACTGAAGTTCATTTCTTTTTATGCTTTTTTGACGGAGTTTTGACCAAAGCGAAATAATCGATGTATGAGAGCTATATGCTAAGCTGTAGTCATCCGATTTCGGTAATTTTCTGCACAAATGTTGTGTGAAGAATAAAAAATCTTAAGATGTTTTATTGGACAAATTTATGACCCAAAATCTCAAATATAAAAAATCGGTCGTATTTATGTTATGGCGGCACGATCTGGCCGGTTCCGATAAATGATTTTTCAGATGTACGAATGAAAGGGACTAGTTTTTATACAAACAAAGTTACAGACGGGCATGGCTAAATCTGCTCAATTACCATTCTAACCCCATCGGTATAAGTTCTGCGTCTACCTCTTTTTCTTTCTGGTATTTATATACATATTTCCAATGAAAGTTAATATACCTTTTCGTGTATTATATGATGGTCGCGATATACGAGTGGTTATCATTGCTTAATACCACTCGGAAGGTATTATATATCGGATCGGATCGCTTCCATATTTAGTGGCAAGAAATTTCTATTTCGTTTTCATATATACGAGCAATATGTTTATTAAGAAATTTGGGCGGAACCCACTGGTCGTTACTCACTGCCCGACGTGTATCTCAGACTGCTTAAACGGACACTAGGCCTGACCTAACTAGTACGTGTCTCGCGCTCTCGTCTACGTCAGAAAGTATACTAGTACGTGGTCTGCACACAATGTGTTAACATTGGTCCGAAGTTTGCAAGTACAAAATTGTACAGACAAATGATTTCGTATAATTCTTACAATTAAAAATTATGAGTGTCCAGATGCCGTTTATGTATATACATATGTACATACAAACATGTACTAATTAACAATTGGGCAAATATTTATGTGTTTTGAGTATATTTTGGGCTTTTGCCGGCGACTAAAAGAGATCTAATAAAATTATTACATAATTATTTTTTTAAGTCATTTATTTTGTTATTGTATACCTATAAATTATAATGTTAAATATTTTTTAATTTTAGAATAGGGATTTAAAGGCAAAATAAGCATAAAAACAAAATAAAATTTTAATATAAATAATGAAAACAATACTCTTCCTTTGTTATGAGGGTAGCTCAAGGTCAATTTCCGCAAGACAACATCTTTTCGTACTTTAATCTGGAAAAAGACCAATCTGCAATCTATGTTCCAAAGATCAATAACCATAAAAATGATTTTTTCGAATAGATCCGCTCCTGGTCTATACATGAAAAAATATAATTTTATGCAATTTTGATCCCATTCTCATTCCTTGGATAGAAATTCGGAAAATCTTTCTTATCGGATGCCTACGTCACATACAAAACACACCCTCCAAGTTTCAGGTTAGCCAGACATTAACAACAAACAATTACGAGCATATTGTGTATATAATAAACAAAATATAAATGTGCATACATACGTATATTTACAATAGATGGGGTAATATTTTTAATTTTTAATGGGTACATTATTAATATTTACTCTTGAATCGAGGAACCTCTTCTTCTTTATTGGCGTGGGCAGCGTTTATGCGAATATAGCCAAATCAATAATAGTGCGTCATTCATCCCTACTGCTCGCGGTTTGGCGCCTGTTGCAAATACCAAATGAAATCAGGCCGCTCTTCACCTGACCCTTCCAACGGAGTGGAGGTCTTCTTTTTCCTCTGTTTCCACCAGCGGGTACTGTATCGAGTACTTTAAAAGCGGGAACCATTCGGACGACATGACCTAGCCAGTGTAGTCGCTATCTCTTCACTCGCTGAACTATGTAAATGTCATTGTGTAACTCGTACATGTCACCGTTTCATCGTCTGCACTATTCGCAGTTGACAATTCACAAAGGATCATTAATCGTTCGTTAAACTTTTCTCTCGAAGACTCCCAAGAATGGCTCATCAGACGTTGACATCGTCCACGCTTCTGCACCATGTAGCAGGACGAGTATGAGAGTAGAGTTTGGGTTTTGTTCGTCGAGAGAGGGCTTTACTTTTAAATTGTTTGTTTAGTCCAAGCTATTGGCATTGCTGGCCCCTAGATAGACGAAATTATCTACGTCCTCGAAGTTCTGACTGTCGGTAGTGAAGTGAAAGCCAAGTCGTGAATAAGATGACTGACTGTTTATTTAATGACAGGAGTTATTTCGCCTTGTCCTCGTTCACTACCAGACCATTTCGCTTCGCTTCTTTATCAAGTTTGAAGAAATCAGAACTAATGGTACGGTTGTTAAGACCTATGATTTCAATAGCATCGGCGTACGCCAGGAGCTGTATACTCTTGTAAAGAGTTTACTTTGTATATTTGACTCTGCAGCTTTTATTATTTTCTCCAGCATCAAACTAAAGAAATCACACGATAATATTAGGTGCAGTAAAAAGTTCGTTCGGTTTTTATCTAAGAGAGAGAGAGAGATCTAACTGTTCTTGTCCATAGTACTAGTGTTACGTGTCGCATCATATCATACTATACGGCGCTGAAAACGTGTTTATTCGGGCTAAAAGTTTGTTTTTGACAGTTTTTCGATTGATTGACTCAATACGTTGTGAGCGCTTGTCAAAGATGGACACCAACAAAGAGAAAATTTGCTATATTTTACAACCAAAGCGGCTGAAAAAATTAATTTAGTTTATGGACCCGATACTTTAAACGAACATGTAGCACAAAATTGGTTTGCTAGGTTCCGTTCCGGTAATTTCGATCTCAAAGATGCACCACGCGTCGGGAGGCCTGTCGTCGAAAATTGCGATAAAATCATTTGCATAACCTCGGATTCAAGAAGAAGCTCTATGTTTAAGTGCCACACGAACTAACGCAAAAAAAAGACCGAATTTCCATCTGCGAATCGCTGCTGAATCGCAAAAAAAAACGACCCGAAGCGGATTGTGACTGGCGATGAAAAATGGGTCAATTACGACAACATCGAGCGCAAACGATCAAAGCTCGTGGAAGCGCCCCAGACGGTGGCCAAGACAATGGCTAATGACAAGGAATCATCTACTACGAGCTGCTCCCCTATGGCCAAACGCTCAATTCGGCCCTCTACTGCCATCAATTGGACCGCTTGAAGGCAGCACATCCAAAAGAGGCCATCTTTGATCAACAGAGGCCGAATTGAGTTCCATTAGGACAACGCCAGGCCTCACACGTCTTTGGTGACGCGCCAGAAGCTGAGAGGATGCGCCCACCTTATAGTCCGGACCTGGCACCAAGTGATTACCACCTTTTCCTGTCCATG